GAGCCCCCAGACCCATGGCTGCCCCAGCCCCATGGCCACCCCAGCCCCACGGCTGAGCCCCCAGACCCATGGCTGCCCCAGCCCCATGGCCACCCTGGCCCCACGGCTGAGCCCCCAGACCCATGGCTGCCCCAGCCCCATGGCCACCCTGGCCCCACGGCTGAGCCCCCAGACCCATGGCTGCCCCGGCCCCATGGCCACCCCGGCCCCACGGCTGAGCCCCCAGACCCATGGTTGCCCCGGCCCCATGGCCACCCTGGCCCCACGACCACCCCGGCCCCGCACCTTCCATGAGCACACGGAAGACGTCCCGCAGGATGGCCGCGGTGGAGCCCAGCACGAAGAGGGAGAAGAGCAGGGTGCTGATGGGGTCCGCGATCTTGCACTGGGGCTGCGGGCCGGGCCGGCGCCATGGGTCAGCCCAGGGCTGGCCCCGCGGCGCTGCTGCACAGCCCGCGGCCGCCCGCGCGCCCACCTTGAAGTAGATGACGGTGGCGGCCACGAGGACGCCGACGCTCTGCAGCAGGTCGCCCACGACGTGCACGAAGGCGGCGCGGACGCTGGTGCTGCCGGGCAGCGCCTGGCCCGGCGCGCCGCCCTCCAGCCGCTCGTAGCCGGGGCCATGGCCGTGGCCAGGCTGGCGCAGCACGTAGGCCATGCTGGGGAGAGCGGGCAGCCTGGCACCGCGCACGGGGTGCAGCGGCACCATGGACGGGGAGGGAACCCGATCCTGCATGGGGCACGTGGGGTTGGGGCAGCGCCGTGGGCGTGGGTAAAACAGGGCTGGGGGACACACGTGTGTGGGGCTGCAACAAGTGTGTGGGGCCGGGCCGAAGGACACGCAGGGTGCCCGGGACCGGGGGCCGCAGTGGCCGGGGCACCTACAGCAGGTTGACGGCCACGGCGCCGGCGGACGTGGCCAGCATGGCCCGCGCCTCGATCTCGTAGTCGCCGCTGAGGATGCGGGCAGCCGCCAGGTAGACGAGCGCCGCCGTCACCAGCCAGATGGAGAGCACGGAGGCCAGCGCGCCCAGCGTCTCTGTGGGCAGCGGCATCGGTGCCTGCTGGCTGCGCTGCCCCCCGCGCTGCCCCCCGCTGATCCCCCCTCACCCGCACGGTGCCAGCCGAAGCTCATGGTCCTGGTGGGCGGCCGGGCGGAGACCCAGAGCGAGAAGAGGCTCACGGCCATGCTGCCCACGTCGGCCAGCAGATGCGCCGCGTCCGTCATGATGGCCAGGCTGTGCGCCAGGTAGCCGCCTGCGGAGCCCCGGCGCTGCCACCCTGACCAGCCCGGTCCACCACAGCCCYGGCACCCATCCYACTGCATCCCCTTCAGCCCATCAACCACCCGTGGGTGCCAGCACCACCACCTATCCCACTGCAKCCCCTTCASCCCAGTGTGCATTGTGCTGTATCCTCAGAATATGTCACCCCTCCTACTGCAGCCCCATCACCCCAGCACCCATCCCACTGTGGCCCAGCTCCCTCTGCAACCCCAGCACCCCAGGTCCTGCCCCACTGCAGCCCCATCACCCCAGCACCCATCCCACTGTGGCCCAGCTCCCTCTGCAACCCCAGCACCCCAATTCCTGTCTCATTGCAGCCCCATTAACCCAGCACCCGTCCCGTTGAGGCCCCAGCCCTCCGGTGGCACCCGTGTCCCGCTGCAGCCCCAGCCTGGTACCTATCACCTCCCCGACCATGAAGACGCAGCAGATGGTGCAGGCGACTCGGAGCTGCCGCCGCGCCCGGAGCCTCCCGCCGGGGCTGGGCTGTGCGGGGCTGCAGCGGCAGCGCGGGCCCGGGGCCGCCTCGGGCTGCAGCTCCAGCCCGGGGGTCGCGGGCTTCGTGTCCCACCCGGGCGGCGGCGCTGCCGGAGCGCCCTGGTCGCCAGCGAAGAGGCTGCGGGGGGAGCGGATGGCAGCCCCGGTGCTACCGGAGCCCTGTCCCGCAGCCCCGGTGCTACTGGAGCCCTCATCCCGGAGCGACRGAGCTCTCGGTGCCCCCATYCCACAGCCCCGGTGCTACCGGAGCCCCCGTTCCACAGTCCCGGTGCTACCGGAGCCCTCATCCCGCAGCCCCGGGACTCCCAGAGCCCCCTTCCCGCAGCTCCGGCACTATCGGAGCCCTCACCCCCCAGCCTCGGCACTATCGGAGTCCCATCCCGCAGCCCCGGAGCTCCCGGTGCCCCCGTCTCCGAGTCCCGGCGCTGCTGCTACCCCCTTCCCGCAGCGCCGGCACCCGGCGGCGGCCCCGGGGGATCCTCTCCCGGCGCCCCGGGCCGCTGCGCCCCGCTCCGGCCCCTGCGCTTCCCTCGCCGCTCGGCCCACGCGACCGCAGCCCCGGAGCGGGGTCCGCGCCGGTGTCAGTCTGGTCACGAACCGGCGCTGCCGACGGCCCCGCGCGCCCCGCTCCCAGCAGCGGCGGGTCCCGTCCCCGTCCCGCTCCCCACACGGCCGCAGCCGCCGCCGCCTCCGCGCTGGGCGCTGAACCGAGACCGCGCGGCGGCGGGCCCGGGAGTGCCGGTG